ACAAACTCATACATAAAATAACATTATAAAACTTAAAACTTAAAAAAACTCGAAAGTAATTTAACAAATTATGAGACAACGCAAAGCAAGAACAACAACTCCAACAAGAACAGTGTTACTAACAATTGTATCAAGCTCCTTGAAGTAGGCAAGACAAAACAAAAACTACATGAATGAATATTGCAACAATACAAAAGCAGCTTAAAAAACTAAAAGCACAACAAACCAAAGAACCATCAGCTTGCTGCTGCAGCTGCTCTCTACATGTAACACTTGCAACATTCATGCCTTGTTAAGTTGTAATGAAAAATGTAACAATAACAACAACTGCGTCTACAAATGTTGAGTGTTACATTTTAGATTCATTTTTATTCACACAAAATATACATAAATACATAGATGCATGTATTTGTAACCAAACAGAAAACTTCTTTTATTTCCTGTAGCTTACAGACAACAACAACGGCAACAATAAATGTAAGAGCATTAGGCAGCGGTAAACAACACGCTACAAACAAATTTGTGAAATTGTATATGGTACACAAAGTTGCAAATATTTTATATTTTCGTACGTTTAACATTGTATAAGGTTCATGCTCGCGACGTCAAGAGTGTAATTTTCGCGCCATTTAGCATTTGTTTCGAAATGTGACAGCTGCTGTCACACTTTAGTGGGTTGATAGTCAATACAAGGATGGCAAAAATCTTTAAAGTTTAAATTTCTTAAAAATCTTGCATAAAATAACTTAGGATCCGAAATTGTATAGCCACTAGACTAGACTATAGACTAGACTATAGACTAGACTTAGACTAGACATAGACTAGACTATAGACTAGACTATAGACTAGACTATAGACTAGACTATAGACTAGACTATAGACTAGACTATAGACTAGACTATAGACTAGACTATAGACTAGACTATAGACTAGACTATAGACTAGACTATAGACTAGACTATAGACTAGACTATAGACTAGACTATAGACTAGACTATAGACTAGACTAGATATAGACTAGACTATAGACTAGACTATAGACTAGACTATAGACTAGACTATAGACTAGACTATAGACTAGACTATAGACTAGACTATAGACTAGACTATAGACTAGACTATAGACTAGACTATAGACTAGACTATAGACTAGACTATAGACTAGACTATAGACTAGATATAGACTAGACTATAGACTAGACTATAGACTAGACTATAGACTAGACTATAGACTAGACTATAGACTAGACTATAGACTAGACTATAGACTAGCTATAGACTAGACTATGACTAGAACTATAGACTAGTCTATAGTCTAGTCTATAGTCTAGTCTATAGTCTAGTCTATAGACTAGACTATAGACTAGACTATAGACTAGACTATAGACTACATTATAGACTGGACTATAGACTAGACTATAGACTAGACTATAGACTAGACTATAGACTAGACTATAGACTAGACTATAGACTAGACTATAGACTAGACTATAGATAGACTATAGACTAGACTATAGACTAGACTATAGACTAGACTATAGACTAGACTATAGACTAGACTATAGACTAGACTATAGACTAGACTATAGACTAGACTATAGACTAGACTATAGACTAGACATAGACTAGACTATAGACTAGACTATAGACTAGACTATAGACTAGACTATAGACTAGACTATAGACTAGACTTAGACTAGACTATAGACTAGACTATAGACTAGACTATAGACTAGACTATAGACTAGACTATAGACTAGACTATAGACTAGACTATAGACTAGACTATAGACTAGACTATAGACTAGACTATAGACTAGACTATAGACTAGACTATAGACTAGACTATAGACTAGACTATAGACTAGACTATAGACTAGACTATAGACTATTTCACAAAAACTTTCTATTAAAAGAAAATTAACGAATATTTTGTATAATCATTTTTCTATTAGAAGAAACAAAATTTAACGAAGTTTTTCTATAATAAGAAAATTTATGAAACATTTCATATGAAAAGAAATTTATGGAAAATTTTCTATTGAAAGAAATGTTATTGAAAATTTTCTAGAGAACGCATACATATTTTTTGAAAGTTTCTATAGAAAGAAAATTCAACGAAAGTTTTCTATAGAAAAAAGTTCAACGAAACTTTTCTATAAAAAGAAAATTCAATGAAAATTTCCATAAAATGCTAATTTATTTTCTATAAAAAGAAAATTTATCGAATATTTTATGGAATATTTATAGTCTAAACTATAGTATAATCAATGATCTGTACTATAGTGTGATCTATAGTCTGAAATATAGTCTGGACTATAGTCTCATCTATAGTCTGGACTATAGTCTCATCTATAGTCTGGACTATAGTCTCATCTATAGCTGGACTATAGTCTCATCTATAGTCCTGGACTATAGTCTCATCTATAGTCTGGACTATAGTCTCATCTATAGTCTGGACTATAGTCTCATCTATAGTCTGGACTATAGTCCTCATCTATAGTCTCATCTATAGTCTGGACTATAGTCTCATCTATAGTCTGGACTATAGTCTCATCTATAGTCTGGACTATAGTCTCATCTATAGTCTGGACTATAGTCTCATCTATAGTCTGGACTATAGTCTCATCTATAGTCTGGACTATAGTCTCATCTATAGTCTGGACTATAGTCTCATCTATAGTCTGGACTATAGTCTCATCTATAGTCTGGACTATGGTCTCATCTATAGTCTGGACTATAGTCTCATCTATAGTCTGGACTATAGTCTCATCTATAGTCTGACTATAGTCTCATCTATAGTTGGACTATAGTCTCATCTATAGTCCTGGACTATAGTCTCATCTATAGACTGGACTATAGTCTATCTATAGTCTGGACTATAGTCTCATCTATAGTCTGGACTATAGTCTGGACTATAGTCTCCTCTATAATCTGGCTTATAGTCTCATCTATAGTCTGGACTATAGTCTCATCTATAGTCTGGACTCTAGTCTCATCTATAGTCTGGACTATAGTCTCATCTATAGTCTGGACTATAGTCTCATCAATAGTCCTAGACTATAGTCTCATCAATAGTCTAGACTATAGTATGATCTATAGTCTGGACTGTGGTCTGATCTATGGTCTGGACTATAGTCTGTTCTGTAGTCTGGACTGTAGTCTGATCTGTGGTCTGGATTATAGTCTGATCTGCAGTCTAGGTTATAGTCTGATCTATAGTTTGGACTATAGTCTTATCTATAGTATGGACTACAATCTGATCAGTAGTCTGGACTATATCTGACATATAGTCAGGTATATATAGAGTATATTCTGGATTGTATTATAGTATATACTATATTCTGATCTCTAGCCTGTCCTATAATCTCAACTAAAGTTTGACCTTCGTCTGGATCATAACCTGAATTATATAATCTAAGCCATAGTGTAATCTATTGTTAGACTGTAGTCTGAGCTATAGTTCATACTGAAATTTATACTGATCTGTTGTTACGACTATAATGCTATAAAATGAACCAAACAAAAACATATTAGACATTAGATAGTAATAGCGCTTACGAAGTTATTAATATGTAGAATTTTTTTTAAAAAGACCGTCTTTAACTTTGTAATTAATTTAATTTTCTATAATTTTTCCACATTAAGAATATTCCTTTAAATTTAGAACACATAATATATATAATTCTCACACTTTATTAATTTAAATAATTTAAACAAATATCCTTCACCACAACATCCTGTTTAAGAACAAAAAAATGTCAACATGTTTTCTTTCACACAAAGGCTCATACCTTCGTTCTTTACTACATGTATGTATGGTAGGTTAAATTAAAAAGGATGTAACATGTGGAAATTTTCCAATTAGTTTTGTTCCCAAACTAGAGAAGTTATATAAAAAAGAAAATATTTTTTTTTTTTTTTTTTGAAATATAAATATTTTCTGATAACTATAAACCTGTAATCTTTAACCACAAAGTCCTTTCCTCTTTCAACCATCGATATATATGTATAACTTCAGGTCTTTGTTTAACAACCAACCGAGTTGGTTGGTTTTTAACTTGGAATTTGGTTTCACACTGTCACATCTCCCACAGACAGACAGAGATTCTCATACATTCATTTATTTATGTTTATTCAAAACCATTGTTCATTGTTACTGCAACTGTGACTGTGTTATTCAGAAACTCACTGTCATGTGGAACATTTGAAGCAACTATAGAGAAGAAAAAATTATGAAACAAAAGACAAAATGAATTTTACACTACTTCACTGTTTTTATTTTTTTTTTTATTCCTGTTTAGAAGAAAAATAATTGTACTCGTATGTGGTACGAGAGTACAACTGTGACAGTTAAGTGCAACCTTTAAATCTGTGATATACACGAGCAATAAAGTAAATTAATTGAAAAAGAAAGACAATTGTAAGAAATATGAAGTGTAGAGCAGAATAAAGAAGTAACCTTTAAAGTGAGCACGTTTTTGGGAAAAGCTAGAAAATTTAGTTAAGTGAAGTTAAAGGGCAAAGTTGAGGTTAAACATCTTAAGGAAGTTTATTACTATTAACCATTTAACAGTAGATTTAATTTTATAGAAGAGCTTCAGTTATTGAATTCTCCTTAATTTTAGTTTAAATAATACTTGTTTAAATTCTTATCCTTTATTATAATTACATGACGTGACGTGACATGACATGAACTCTAATTAACTTCAAACTCTTTGTCATTCGTTGCTATAGAATTTCAATTACAAGTTTTTTTGTGGTTTATTTGCATTTCTTAAAATGAAAATAAATTTTAATAAAATGTATTTATAAATACTTTTTTTCTTTTAATTTCAGGTTGTAATCGTACTTATTATGGTGATATTGGTTTAACTTATTCCTTGGAGTTGCATCGTCCCAAACAGGATCGCCTGCCTTATGTGTGTGTTTTAACATTTACTGCTGCGGGAGGTCAACATGGTGATGTTGTACAGGTAAGACAAACTTACAGAAAACCAATCACGTTTTTTTATAGAAAAATTTTCCCCAAAATTTTCTTTTCATAGAAAATTTTCATAAATTTTCTTTTCATAGAAAATTTTTCATAAATTTTCTTTTATAGAAAATGGTCATAAATTTTCTTTTTATAGAAAATTTTCCATAAATTTTCTTTTTTTATAGAAAATTTTCCATAATTTTCTTTTTTATAGAAAATTTCCCATAAATTTTCTTTTAATAGAAAATTTTCCCTAAATTTTCTTTTTTATAGAAAATTTTCTTTTTTTATAGAAAATTTTCCATAAATTTTCTTTTTTTTTATAGAAAATTTTCCATAAAGTTTCTTTTTTTTATAGAAAATTTTCCTTAAATTTTCTTTTTTTTAATATAAAATTTTCCATAAATTTTCTTTTTTTTATAGAAATTTTTCCATAAATTTTCTTTTTTTATAGAAAATTTTCCATAAATTTTCTTTTTTTTATAGAAAATTTTCCATAAATTTTCTTTTTTATAGAAAATTTTCCATAAATTTTCTTTTTTATAGAAAATTTTCCATAAATTTTCTTTTTTATAGAAAATTTTCCATAAATTTTTTTTTATAGAAAATTTTCCCAAAATTTTCTTTTATAGAAAATTTTCACTATATTTACTTTTTTTATAGAAAATTTTCCCTAAATTTTCTTTTTTTATAGAAAATTTTCCCTAAATTTTCTTTTTGTATAGAAATTTTCCCCTAAATTTTCTTTTGTATAGAAAATTTTCCCTAAATTTTCCATTTGTATAAAAATTTTCCCTAAATTTTCTTTTTGTATAGAAAATTTTCCCAAAATTTTCTTTTTTTTTTGAAAATTTTCCCTAAATTTTCTTTTTTTTTTGAAAATTTTCCCTAAATTTTCTTTTATTTCGAAAATTTCCAAAATTTTCTTTTTTTATAGAAAATTTTCCATAAGTTTTCTTTTTTTATAGAAAATTTTCCATAAGTTTCTTTTTTTATAGAAAATTTTCTATAAATTTTCCTTTTTTATAAAAATTTTCCATAAATTTATTTTTATAGAAAATTTTTCATAAATTTTCTTTTATAGAAAATTTTCCATAAATTTTCTTTTATAGAAAATTTTCCATAAATTTTCTTTTAAGAAAATTTTCGTTGAATTTACCTTTAGAAGATTTTTGTTGAATTTCCTTTTATAGGAAATTTTCGTCGAATTTTCTTTTTATAGGAAATTTTCGTCGAATTTTCTTTTATAGAAAATGTTCGTTGAATTTTCTTTTAATAGAAAATTTTCGTCAAATGAATTTTATAGAAAATTTTCGTAGAATTTTCTTTTTATAGAAAATTTTTATTAATTTTTATATATATTAAGTTTTGTTCCTTTTCAGTATCATTGAACAGAGCGTATACTTACGAAAAAATATAATTTGTTAATAAAATCACTCATACAACAGTTAACCAAAGTTTTGTATTCTTACATTCTCTCCATGAAAAAAAAACGTTTACAAATTTTTTAATTATTACATTTTTTATACTTCAATATATTTTTACATACAAATCTGTCGGTCTATGCTCTCTTTTACACATGCCAAACAAATTTCAGCACATTTCATAAAATATTTTCATTTAAATTTTTATTTAAAACATAGTCAAACTTTTATAATAATATTCATAAAATGTTGAAACATTTCTCGTAAATAGCAACAGCATGACCATGCAAACACATACAGACCCACATCCATCAATAAAGAAAATCAGTGTAAAAGGTTTGGGAGAAATAGCACAAAAATTGAAAAAGTTCTGAATAAAAAAAATAGCAAAAACACAACAATAAAAGCGTAAAACCTTGCTACTAAATACGGTAACTAAAACATACTCTGTTGTCGGTTGGCGGATTTCCTGTCCTCACGTTTCCGGTAACAAAAAGCAAATACTTTGTTTTTTACAATTCTTTTTCTCTTCTATTTTACATACAAAGTCAGTTGTCAGTCCTTTTTTATGTTAGAACACTCACACCCATACACGTTACTATGCAAACTAGTTTGTATGTAGAAGTATTATTAACAGGATATTTGCCAGTGATGCTTAAGTACAACTAAAGCTTGAAACGTTATTTGACCATTTGGGATTAAAATGTAAAATCACAACAAAAAAAAAATGTCAGTTAGTGTTTAGTTTTAGATAAAAAGCTTCAAACTGTAAGACCGATAGAAGGACGAAATGTTTAGCATATTGTCACTAGCACATTGTCCACAAATTTTTTGTACATATATATAATATATATAATTATAATGTTACTGACTAACTACTTAACGGTTGAAGCCGAAAAAGTTGGACGATCAACAAATCGCTAGACATAGACTGGTCATAGCTAGATAATAGACTATACTAAACAAACTGTAGACTAGCTATAGACTAGACTATAGACTAGACTATAGACTAGACTATAGACTAGACTATAGACTAGACTATAGACTAGACTATAGACTAGACTATAGACTAGACTATAGACTAGACTATAGACTAGACTATAGACTAGACTATAGACTAGACTATAGACTAGACTATAGACTAGACTATAGACTAGACTATAGACTAGACTATAGACTAGACTATAGACTAGACTATAGACTAGACTATAGACTAGACTATAGACTAGACTATAGACTAGACTATAGACTAGACTATAGACTAGACTATAGACTAGACTATAGACTAGACTATAGACTAGACTATAGACTAGACTATAGACTAGACTATAGACTAGACTATAGACTAGACTATAGACTAGACTATAGACTAGACTATAGACTAGACTATAGACTAGACTAGACTATAGACTAGACTATAGACTAGACTATAGACTAGACTATAGACTAGACTATAGACTAGACTATAGACTAGACTATAGACTAGACTATAGACTAGACTATAGACTAGACTATAGACTAGACTATAGACTAGACTATAGACTAGACTATAGACTAGACTATAGACTAGACTATAGACTAGACTATAGACTAGACTATAGACTAGACTATAGACTAGACTATAGACTAGACTATAGACTAGACTATAGACTAGACTATAGACTAGACTATAGACTAGACTATAGACTAGACTATAGACTAGACTATAGACTAGACTATAGACTAGACTATAGACTAGACTATAGACTAGACTATAGACTAGACTATAGACTAGACTATAGACTAGACTATAGACTAGACTATAGACTAGACTATAGACTAGACTATAGACTAGACTATAGACTAGACTATAGACTAGACTATAGACTAGACTATAGACTAGACTATAGACTAGACTATAGACTAGACTATAGACTAGACTATAGACTAGACTATAGACTAGACTATAGACTAGACTATAGACTAGACTATAGACTAGACTATAGACTAGACTATAGACTAGACTATAGACTAGACTATAGACTAATATGACTAGACTATAGACTAGACTATAGACTAGACTATAGACTAGACTATAGACTAGACTATAGACTAGACTATAGACTAGACTATAGACTAGACTATAGACTAGACTATAGACTAGACTATAGACTAGACTATAGACTAGACTATAGACTAGACTATAGACTAGACTATAGACTAGACTATAGACTAGACTATAGACTAGACTATAGACTAGACTATAGACTAGACTATAGACTAGACTATAGACTAGACTAGACTAGACTATAGACTAGACTATAGACTAGACTATAGACTAGACTAGACTAGACTATAGACTAGACTATAGACTAGACTATAGACTAGACTATAGACTAGACTATAGACTAGACTAAGACTAGACTATAGACTAGACTATAGACTAGACTATAGACTAGACTATAGACTAGACTATAGACTAGACTATAGACTAGACTATAGACTAGACTATAGACTAGACTATAGACTAGACTATAGACTAGACTATAGACTAGACTATAGACTAGACTATAGACTAGACTATAGACTAGACTAGACTATAGACTAGACTATACTATAGACTAGACTATACTAGATAGACTAGACTATAGACTAGACTATAGACTATAGACTAGATAGACTATAGACTAGATAGACTATAGACTAGACTAGACTAGACTATAGACTAGACTATAGACTAGACTATAGACTAGACTATAGACTAGACTATAGACTAGACTATAGACTAGACTAGACTATAGACTAGACTAGACTAGACTAGACTAGACTAGACTAGACTAGACTAGACTACTAGACTAGACTAGACTAGACTATAGACTAGAATAGACTAGACTAGACTAGACTAGACTAGATAGACTAGACTATAGACTAGACTAGACTATAGACTAGACTATAGACTAGACTATAGACTAGACTATAGACTAGACTATAGACTAGACTAGACTATAGACTAGACTATAGACTAGACTATAGACTAGACTATAGACTAGACTATAGACTAGACTATAGACTAGACTATAGACTAGACTATAGACTAGACTATAGACTAGACTATAGACTAGACTATAGACTAGACTATAGACTAGACTATAGACTAGACTATAGACTAGACTATAGACTAGACTATAGACTAGACTATAGACTAGACTATAGACTAGACTATAGACTAGACTATAGACTAGACAAGACTACTAAGACTAGACTATAGACTAGACTATAGACTAGACTATAGACTAGACTATAGACTAGACTAAGACTAGACTAAGACTAGACTATAGACTAGACTAAGACTAGACTAAGACTAGACTAAGACTAGACTAAGACTAGACTAAAGACTATAGACTAGACTATAGACTAGACTAAGATAGACGAAAGACTAGACTAAGATGGACTAAGACTAGACTAAGACTAGACTATAGACTAGACTAAGACTAGACTAAGACTAGACTATAGACTAGACTATAGACTAGACTAAGACTAGACTAAGATAGACTAAAGACTAGACTAAAGACTAGACTAAAGACTAGACTAAAGACTAGACTAAAGACTAGACTAAAGACTAGACTAAAGACTAGACTAAGACTAGACTAAAGACTAGACTATAGACTAGAATAATAGACTATAGCTAGACTAAAGACTAGACTATAGACTAGACTAAAGACTAGACTAAAGACTAGACTAAAGACTAGACTAAAGACTAGACTAAGACTAGACTAAGACTAGACTAAAGACTAGACTAAAGACTAGACTAAAGACTAGACTAAAGACTAGACTAAAGAATAGACTAAAGACTAGACTAAAGATAGACTATAGACTAGACTAAAGACTAGACTAAAGACTCGACTAAAGACTAGACTAAAGACTAGATTAAAGACTAGATTAAAGACTAGACTAAAGACTAGATTATAGTCTAGACTACAGACTAAACTGTATACTAGACCTAGTCTTCGTCGCGACATTAAATGAATTGCGGACATTTATGTCATTTTTCTGAAGGGGTCTTTGTAGAGCTAGGGTTAAAAGGGGCCCTATCATTACAAAATTCCGCAGGATCATAAGGCAAGTATAAAACATAGTTGTACCGCTTTTTATCGATATACAAGTATATTAATCATAATTATGAGCTCAAAAGCCCTATTCGTATGGTTTAGGTTGTAAGGATAATGTACCGATTTTCAATAAGCTTCGTTCCTGGAACAATAGAAGATCATGTGTCAAATTTGATTAAATTTTCTTTAAAATTGTGAAGTGTAATATCATTACAAGGTTTAAAAGCCCTATTCGAGGATTCAATTATATGGGGGCTAAGTGAAATAATGGACCGATCTAAACCATTTTCAATAAGCCCTGGGACAATTGAAGATCAAGTACCAAATTTCATTGCTAAAATATCTTCAAAATAGCGACCTGCAGTTTTGATTACAAGTTTCACATGGACGGACATAGCATAGAAGTAATATCAGCTCAAACTCAATATACCCCTCCCTGCTAAGGTGGTGAAGGGTGTAACAAGCTGCGTCTTGATTGAAGGAAACTCTACAGGATGGTTAATGTTAATTTTATTTAAGATGAGGCTAGCGAAGCTCACCGGTTAATGCTAGTTTTCAATAGATTGATAAAAATTTGCTTAAAACCACACAATTTCAGTTTCAGAATAAATGAGTTTTGTATTGTTTGCATTTGTTGCCTTTTAATACTTTTAATCTCTAATATGTGTGGATTTTATATTTTGTATGAATATAAATAGTTTTTGGTTAATTGAATAAGTTAATAACAATTAAGTGGGATTACACTAGAGATTGTGTGCATGTGTGTGTTTGGTTGGGTTTATTTAGTTAATAAATTGTTTTAATAACATTCTAACATTTTAAATATAATAAATAAAGTGTATTATTAATGGTTTAAAAGTGAACTGAGATTTTAAGTAATTTGGGATTATAAATAAATAAATAATAGTAATAAATAGTTGAGATTAATTTTAGAAAATTTTTGGGTCAAATGAATTAAAAATTGAATAATGTTGTTGAATAAACAAAGAATTTTCTATAAAAAGAAAAATTTTTAAAAAGCTTTATAAGAGGTTAATAAAGAATTACTGGTTCCGCTTGAATATTGATGTACACTTTTTGAAGCAAAAACCAGTCAATGGAAAAATGTTCTTCAACATGAAATGAAATATTACAAAATTTTGATCGATGATGAACTCGCATTTTTTATAACTAACAGCTTTTACTTAAAACTATATGTGTAAATTTTTGTAATTTTTGTTTTCTCTTTATAAAAGGTAACTTTGGATAGTTTTACTATAGGACGTTTTACCTCATATACACAAGATGGTTGCCCGGATGGTTATATGCAAATAGCTGAATCAGCCCGTACACCCATTGGCGGCATGTGGTGTGGCACCTCATGGGGACCAGTTTTATTTTATAGTGAATCTCGTTCTTTGATATTTACCATTAAATTAAATAAGTGAGTAAAAAAAAGTTTATTTTTCTGCACTTTTTCTACACCTTTTTTTTCCACTTTTGTTGTTTTATATTAAAAGGTAAACTTTTATCATTTTCATAAACTTGTAAAAAACTATTTTTCCGTTTAGTTTTCTGTGTGTGTGTGTTTTTTTAGAAGCCAATCTCATTTCATAGTTTACCTTTTTTTAGTTTTGTTTACGGAAATACTTCTTCTTTTAGCCAACTATTTTTTTTACACATTTTTCTAAAACTTATTTCTGGTTTTGATTATTTCTTCTACTTTTTCCTATTTATTTTTTCATTACAGATTAGCACGTGATCAAAGCGGTTATAATTTTGATTTTCGTATACGATATAAAGTTTTATCCCGTGATAGTTCTGTTACACGTTATGGTGGTATTAAAGTTGAAGGTGAGTAACACAAAATTCAGTTTTTTAGGAATTTTCTAAAAAAAATCTTTTTACAAGAAATTTTCGTTTTAATAGACAATTTTCCATAAATTTTCTTTTATAGAAAATTTTCCATAAATTTCTTATTATAGAAAATTTTCCATAAAATTTCTTTTTATAGAAAATTTTTCAGTAATTTTCTTTTTATAGAAAATTTCCCAGAAATTTTCTTTTATATAAAATTTTCCAGAAATTTTCTTTTTATAGAAAATTTTTCATAAATTTTCTTTTTTTAGAAAATTTTTCATAAATTTTCTTTTTATAGAAAATTTTCCATAAATTTTCTTTTTATAGAAAATTTTCCATAAATTTCCTTTTTATAGAAAATTTTTCATAAATTTTCTTTTTATAGAAAATTTTCCATAAATTTTCTTTTTATAGAAAATTTTTCATAAATTATCTTTTATAGAAAATTTTCATAAATTATCTTTTTATAGAAAATTTTTCATAAATTATCTTTTTATAGAAAATTTTTCATAAATTATCTTTTTATAGAAAATTTTTCATAAATTATCTGTTTCAAGAAAATTTTTCATAAATTATCTTTTCAAGAAAATTTTTCATAAATTATCTTTTCAAGAAAATTTTCCATAAATTATCTTTTCAAGAAAATTTTCCATTAATTTTCTCTTCAAGAAAATTTTCAGAAATTTTCTCTTTCAAGAAAAATTTTTCAGAAATTTTCTCTTTCAAGAAAATTTTCAGAAATTTTCTCTTTCAAGAAAATTTTTCAGAAATTTTCTCCTTCAAGAAAATTTTTCAGAAATTTTCTCTTTCAAGAAAATTTTTCAGAAATTTTCTCTTTCAAGAAAATTTTCAGAAATTTTCTCTTTCAAGAACATTTTCAGAAATTTCTCTTTCAAGAAAATTTTCAGAAATTTCTCCTTCAAGCAAATTTCCAGAAATTTTCTTTTTATAGAAAATTTTCCATAAATTTTCTTTTATAGAAAATTTCCATAAATTTTCTTTTTACAGAAAATTTTCCATAAATTTTCTTTTTATAGAAATTTTCCTTAAATTTTCTTTTTATAGAAAATTTTCCATAAGTTTTCTTTTTATAGAAAATTTCCATAGTTTTCTTTTATAGAAAATTTACGATAAATTTTCTTTTATAGAAAATTTACGATCAATTTTCTTTTTATAGAAAATTTACGATCAATTTTCTTTTTATAGAAAATTTACGATCAATTTTCTTTTTATAGAAAATTTACGATAAATTTTCTTTTTATAGAAAATTGACGATAAATTTTCTTTTTATAAAAAATTTACGATAAATTTTCTTTTTATAGAAAATTTAAGATACATTTTTTTTTATAGAATATTTACTATAAATTTATATTTTATAGAAAATTTTCGATAAATTTTCTTTTTATAGAAAATTTACGATAAATTTTTTTGTATAGAAAATTTACGATAAATTTTTTATAGAAAATTTATGATAAATTTTCTTTTTACAGAAAATTTGCGATAAATTTTCTTTTTACAGAAAATTTACGATAAATTTTCTTTTTATAGAAATATACGATAATTTTTCTTTTTATAGAAGATTTACGATAAATTTTATGGAAAATTTACGATAATTTTTTTTATGGAAAAATTACGATAAATTTTTTTATGGAAAATTTACGATCAATTTTTTTTTATGGAAAATTTAAGATCAATTTTCTTTTTCAAAAAATTTTCTTTTTATAGAAAATTTACGATAAATTTCCTTTTTATAGAAAATTTACGATAAATTTTCTTTTTAAGAAAGTTTTCAAAAAATTTTATTTTTATAGTAAATTTACGATAAATTTAGAAAATTTACGATAAATTTCCTTTTTATCGATAAGTTTCGTTAAAATTTCTTTTTGTATTCTTCAAATATTTTAGATCTCCAGCAGTGGCATAATCGCAGCAGTTTCTTGCATCAAAATGCTGTAGACGATTTCACCAATACCAGTGGGGTGCACTCGGATCGTTATGGTCAGGATTTTAGTTTATTTAGTGCTTATGCCAATAATAAACTTTTTTAAGTTCTCTCAATAACCAAATGACTAAGGATGAACATAATTACACCGAACCCAAATACTATTTAGGTAATTATAAAAAGAAAACATTAAATAGAATTAAGAAACTATTTCGAAACGTTTCTTGTGAAATGCTAAGCTGCTTATCTATTGATTCAACGCTTAGTCCCCCTCGCATTAAAATAGACTTTTCTTAAAATTCTTAACAAAAAAAAAATATTAAAAGAAACTTTTTAATATTGAATAAATATGTCTTAAAAAAAAAAAACAATAAAAAAAAAGAAAAAAAAAATTTCTCAACACTTCCTTAAATTAATTTTCTTTCCAAACCCCACTAAATATGTCTTCCTTTTGTTAACATAAACCCTGATGTTATAGTACGTTTTTTTTTCATTAAACTCATTTAAGGTGATTTAATACCCGGTACCTATTGTTCCCGCATATTTAGTGACTGTGATAAGAAAGCCTGTCGTTTGCAATCACCAAATTATCCTGGTATATATCCAAGAAATTTAACCTGTTACTATGCCGTAAGACAGGTAAGTGTGTTTCTTTAACATTTTGCTCTATTTTTTAAGTATTTCCTTTTTTATAAATACAAAAGAAACTAAAGAGTTGCTTAAGATTAAAGTAAGTATCCTTGTGTATGTGTGTGTAAAAACTGTTAGAAAGAAATTGTATTTCTTTGGAAATCCTTTCACTCTTTTGTTAGTTTTTTTTTAGAGAAAGGATTAAGAAAAAAGTGTCGCCACATAATGTAGACTTTTTTTAGTTTTTAGTTTTTTTTTTAAAGATTGTGTGTTCATATCTTAAGCAGATACCTGTGTGTTCAGGCTTAAACATAAATTTGTTAAAATTCTTATTTTCTTTTTTACATATTTATCGCTTGAAAATGAAAACAATCCTCTTAACAAATATTTGTTTCTTCTAACTTTGTTTAGTGGCTTAGTGTTGTGAGGTTAGGGAGTGTTAGGGAGAGAAAATAATCGATTCTCATATCATATTACTTATATTTTATAAAAATTAACCAAAAATTCGACTATAGTCCAAACTTTCAGACCAAAGGCCTATCTATAATCCACAAGACTATAGACTAGACTATAGACTAGACTATAGACTAGACTATAGACTAGACTATAGACTAGACTATAGACTAGACTATAGACTAGACTATAGACTAGACTATAGACTAGACTATAGACTAGACTATAGACAAGACTATAGACTAGACTATAGACTAGACTATAGACTAGACTATAGACTAGACTATAGACTAGACTATAGACTAGACTAGACTAGACTATAGACTAGACTATAGACTAGACTATAGACTAGACTATAGACTAGACTATAGACTAGACTATAGACTAGACTATAGACTAGACTATAGACTAGACTATTGACTAGACTATAGACTAGACTATAGACTAGACTATAGACTAGAATATCGACTAGACTATAGACTAGAGACTATAGACTAGAATATAGGCTAGACTATAGACTAGACGATAGACTAAATATAGGCTAGACTATAGACTAGACGATAGACTAGACGATAGACTAGACTATAGACTAGACTATAGACTAGACTATAGACTAGACTATAGACTAGACTAGACTAGACTATAGACTAGACTATAGACTAGACTATAGACTAGACTATAGACTAGACTATAGACTAGACTATAGACTAGACTATAGACTAGACTATAGACTAGACTATAGACTAGACTATGACTAGACTAACTACAGACTAGACTATAGACTAGACTATAGACTAGACTATAGACTAGACTATAGACTAGACTATAGACTAGACTATAGACTAGACTATAGACTAGACTATAGACTAGACTATAGACTAGACTATAGACTAGACTATAGACTAGACTATAGACTACTATGACTAGACTATAGACTAGACTATAGACTACTATAGACTAGACTATAGACTAGACATAGACTAGACTATATACTAGACTATAGACTAGACTATAGACTAGACTATAGACTACTATAGACTAGACTATAGACTAGACTATAGACTAGACTATAGACTAGACTATAGACTAGACTATAGACTAGACTATAGACTAGACTATAGACTAGACTATAGACTAGACTATAGACTAGACTATAGACTAGACTATAGACGACTATAGACTAGACTATAGACTAGACTATAGACTAGACTATAGACTAGACTATAGACTAGACTATAGACTAGACTATAGACTAGACTATAGACTAGACTATAGACTAGACTATAGACTAGACTATAGACTAGACTATAGACTAGACTATAGACTAGACTATACTAGACTATACTAGACTATAGACTAGACTATAGACTAGACTATAGACTAGACTATAGACTAGACTATAGACTAGACTATAGACTAGACTATAGACTAGACTATAGACTAGACTATAGACTAGACTATAGACTAGACTATAGACTAGACTATAGACTAGACTATAGACTAGACTATAGACTAGACTATAGACTAGACTATAGACTAGACTATAGACTAGACTATAGACTAGACTATAGACTAGACTATAGACTAGACTATAGACTAGACTATAGACTAGACTATAGACTAGACTATAGACTAGACTATAGACTAGACTATAGACTAGACTATAGACTAGACTATAGACTAGACTATAGACTAGACTATAGACTAGACTATAGACTAGACTATAGACTAGACTATAGACTAGACTATAGACTAGACTATAGACTAGACTATAGACTAGACTATAGACTAGACTATAGACTAGACTATAGACTAGACTATAGACTAGACTATAGACTAGACTATAGACTAGACTATAGACTAGACTATAGACTAGACTATAGACTAGACTATAGACTAGACTATAGACTAGACTATAGACTAGACTATAGACTAGACTATAGACTAGACTATAGACTAGACTATAGACTAGACTATAGACTAGACTATAGACTAGACTATAGACTAGACTATAGACTAGACTATAGACTAGACTATAGACTAGACTATAGACTAGACTATAGACTAGACTATAGACTAGACTATAGACTAGACTATAGACTAGACTATAGACTAGACTATAGACTAGACTATAGACTAGACTATAGACTAGACTATAGACTAGACTATAGACTAGACTATAGACTAGACTATAGACTAGACTATAGACTAGACTATAGACTAGACTATAGACTAGACTATAGACTAGACTATAGACTAGACTATAGACTAGACTATAGACTAGACTATAGACTAGACTATAGACTAGACTATAGACTAGACTATAGACTAGACTATAGACTAGACTATAGACTAGACTATAGACTAGACTATAGACTAGACTATAGACTAGACTATAGACTGGACTATAGACTAGACTAGACTAGACTATAGACTAGACTATAGACTAGACTATAGACTAACTATAGACTAGACTATAGACTAGACTATAGACTAGACTATAGACTAGACTACAGACTAGACTATAGACTAGACTAGACTAGACTATAGACTAGACTATAGACTAGACTATAGACTAGACTATAGACTAGACTAGACTATAGACTAGACTATAGACTAGACTATAGACTAGACTATAGACTGACTATGACTAGACTATAGACCTAGACTATAGACTAGACTACTAGACTAGACTATAGACTAGACCTATAGACTAGACTATAGACAGCTATAGACTAGACTATAGACTAGACTATAGACTAGACATAGACTAGACTATAGACTGAACTATAGCCGAAACATTAGCCTAGACTATAAACTAGACAATTGACTGGACTATATACAAGATTGTAGACTAGCGCATAAACTAGAATAAAGACTAGACTATAGACTATACTTTAGACTAGACTTGGACTACATTTAAAACTAGACTTTAGACCTAAACTACAGTCCAGACTACAGAGTAAACTATAGTCCAGATATAAGCTGAACTATAGACTAAACTAAAGTTCGACTACAGATTATATTTCAGTTCATAGTCTGGTCTAGTATATGGTCGGAGGTTTAGTCCAATCTATACTCTGGCCTATAGTCTGATCTATATACAAACTATACACTGTATCTACATAGACTACAATCTAAACTATACTACAAATTGTAGCCTCTGCAACTCATACTATAAACTTGACTCTAGCCGGAGTTTGACTTTTAAAAACAATATCTGCAAACTTTCATAACTTTAACGACTCAACAAATTTTTCTTTCTATTTTTAAAATCATAAATGAAATAATCGCATCACTAACACTATTAACATTATTATTGTTCCTGTTGTAGTTGTTGGCACAGATTTAAGTATAAGTGTAGGTTTAAACATAAAAACGTATGCGTGTGTGTTTAAGTGTATTAGAGAATGTACTTTTGGGCATGAACTCATGCAACCACAACAAAAAGTCCATTTTTAACCTTTGGGAGTTTTTTAAAAAAAAAAAGAAGGAATTGAAAAAAGGAATAGTTTTGGCAGGTCAAAAACAAAGTGCAAAACCACATAGAAGAATGTATGAAAACAATGAAAAACACACCACAAAATTTACATACATACTTACTCACTCACACATACATATATACAGAACGAAACTATAAAGCTTCATTAAACCACAAGGGTACATAAAATTTCATTCAGAGTTTTTTTTTTGCATATTTTTGTATTAAAAACAACAACATCATTGGAGTCATACACAATGTAAGTATGAATAGTAGTAGTACATTGTGCAAATACAAACAAATAAACAGGGAAGAAGAATTTTTAAATGTATGTTTCATATTTCCATAGCCAAAGGAACGCAAACCTGACTGCCTGCCTGCCAGTCTGCCTATCTTTACGGCAGCAGCAAACAAAGTTGGTCTGTCTGTGTAACTATCGTTATGTCGCTCCTGTTTTACTGAAACTCCTTTTCCTATAACCAGCCTACGTTTAACAAACAAAAACAGAAGCAGCAGAACAAAAAAAAACAACTGCCAGGGGA